AGCTCTAAGTGATTGATGTGAAGTAGACTCTCTCCCATCGACCAAGTGCTGGCCCATGATAGATCGTCTAGGTGTGCTCCCCAACCCAGTGTTGAAGCATCTGTTGTGAGCATAGCTGCTGAAGAGGGGCGAGAAAACACGACTCCACATTGGAGATTGTTCGGAGCTAGCCACCACAGGAGCTTGTCGATAATTAACTGAGTTACTGGAATCATCTTTGATAGAGGATCTTTGCAAGGGCGAAAGTGGTTCAGAAGATGGAGCTGTAAGGGACGCATGTGCATCCTGCACCAAGGAACCAAGTCGACGAGACTTGCCATGAGGCCCAGTAGGCGGAGCCAAGCTTTCGCTGGGAGGATTGGAGATGACCTGAAAATCCTGATGTAGTCCCAGAGTGTCTGACATCTTTCCCCAGATGGCATCGCTCTGCCTGTTGTCATGTCTAGAACTGCTCCAAGATAGGTCGGTTGTTGTGTTGGAATTAGAGAGGACTTCTCGACATTGATGATGAAGCCCAGATTGAGGGTAAGTTGAATGGTCTGTCGGAGGGCATGTACCGTGTCTTGGAAAGTGGGACCTACTATGAGCCAATCGTCCAGGAACAGGAATATGTGGATCCGCTTTTGATGCAAGAAAGCTGCTACTGCTTTGGCTATTCTTGTAAAGACCCGTGGGGCTGTGGAGAGGCCAAACGGTAGGCAACAAAACTGGTACCCGGAATCCCGGTATAAAAACTGGAGAAACTTATGATGATCTGCGTGGATAGGTACATAAAGGTAGGCATCCTTCAGATCGATGAAAGTAGCCCACCAATTCCTTTTCAGGGACTGGAGGACCGTGGAAAGTGTCTCCATGCGAAAGTGTTTGGCTTTGATGTAACTGTTGAGAGGTCGTAGGTTGATGATGAGGTTGTACAGGAGGGTTGCTGGTGAATTCCAGACAGTACCCTGTCGAGATAGTTTGAAGAACCCAGATGTCCGAGGTTACGTGAGACCATCTCTGACTGAACTCCCCAAGACGACCACCTACTGGACCCAAAGCAGGAGGGATGAAAACTGTGTTGTAGTCAAAAACCCTTGTCACCTCGCGACCCCCGGGACTTAAAGGGCCGCGATTATCTGGGGGGCTGTCTCCTGGTGTAGCTCGAGGAAGACTAAGAAGCCTGATGCCCCTGATTCCTGGACTGGTTTGAACCCTAGTCGGTAGAAAACAGATGTTGTTACTTCTTGCTGGGCTGACTGGGGACAAATGAAGATGGACGTTTGGCTGAACGCCGACAAAGATCCAACTTGTCTTCAGCTTTTAGTCTCGTCGAACCTGTTGTCAAAAAGATCACGCCTGCACATGCGAGTCGACCTGTTGTTCCGAAGCATGCATGTGCTCCTGTAGACTGCTGTAAGAATGCGGAATTTGTCGGGGAGAGGCCGTAACTCTCGTTGGAGAAGTGTTCGTCCCCCGAGAATTTCCAACAGCAGAACCCGGGAGATTGGACCCAGTCGTAGCAAAGGGATTATAACGTTTGGATTGACTTGAGGGTAACTTTCCGGTAGAACAGCTTGAGCTAGAAACAGTTTTCTTTTTGATCTTGGCAGAGTCCGCCATTTTGTAAGCACAGCGAGAACAGCTAACGAGAGATCTATGTCTGTTTGCAACAGAACATAGGGCTTTTCCACATTATGCTTTTTTTTATCAATAACACATCCCAGACTATGCATGTACAACGTTTCAAAATTTAGCATGTAGCAGACTTGTATGACTCATGACTCTCGACTCGGAGTCACATTTTTAATGACTCGGACTCGGAATTGAGTCACTTTGACTTACGACTCGGACTCGGGGCTACGGACTCGGACTTGGACTCGAACTGACTTGTGACTCGACAGAAATTACCGCACTGCACACGCGCACATACGTAAGTCAATCGTTTTCTTTACTGTGCAATACATGTACAGGGCACTCGATGCGGTGCGTGCGTGGCCGTAGCCGGTTACCGATATATTGATTAAAGAAATCAATGTACCGTAACCTGTACCCCGCCGTCTGCACGTAATACTGCATTGGTGCAAGATTGATAGGGTAAGGTACCAGACTTTTCTTGTCAGACGTCCTGTCATTCACACGTGTTTTGCTGTCGCATCGCGATAACGCGATATGAATAGTCTGCTGATGGAAAAATGGAAATTTACAGCACCTGAAATGTACGTATTTCCAATACTATATCAAAGGTGACTCTGAATCTCTGAATTCCCTAATATGTACATTTTTCCAATACAATGTTAGAGGTGACTCGTGACTCGGACTTGGACTCGACCTTTGTGACTCGTGACTTGGATTCGGACTCGACCTGGAGGACTCAGGACTCGGACTCGAGAAATGTGACTCGGACTCGGACCTGGACTCGATGTTTCGTGACTCGAATACAAGTCTGGCATGTAGCGTCTGTGAGATATATTATCTTCCAAAAGAAATAAATCTATATTAAATCAGACGTGTCGGACTACCTTCGTACGCAATTTTGACCCATTCGGACTGATGCATGTAGTTTTCTCAATATGAGACTTAAAAAATGCATCATTATGATAGCGCCACATGCCCTACAATGACGTCATCTTGATAACGCTTGTCAATGCACATTTTTGCATTGTGGTCTTGGTTTGTACCAATCTTAAAGTCAATCCAGTAAGAGGAAGTGTTAAATTGTAAAGTGGAATGAAATTGTAAATATTACAAAAATCATAAAAAAATCATGCGATGACGTCATGGTGACGTCATTTCAGATTTAGCATACCAATACCATTATCTAGCTATCCACCAAGTTTCACGACGATCGGACTTCCCCTTATATGTGTTTAAAAATCAAATTTTTGATGACGTTTTGATGACGTCACACATTTTTCAAAATTGTGTATATATATACATGTATACCCATTACCTAACAAACATAATACCAGACTTGTATTCGAGTCACGAAACATCGAGTCCAAGTCCGAGTCACATTTCTCGAGTCCAAGTCCGAGTCCCGAGTCCTCCAGGTCGAGTCCGAGTCCGAGTCACGAGTCACAAAGGTCGAGTCCAAGTCCGAGTCACGAGTCACCTCGCGTTATCGCGATGCGACAGCAATACACGTGTGAACAACAGGACGTCTGACAAGAAAAGTCTGGTACCTTACCCTATCAATCTTGCACCAATGCAGTATTACGTGCGGACGCAGGGTACAGGTTACGGTACATTGATTTCTTTAATCAATAAATCGGTAACCGGCCACGGCCACGCACCACCGCATCGAGCGCCCTGTACATGTACATGTATTGCACAATAAAGAAAACGATCGACTTACGTATGTGCGCGTGTGCAGTGCGGTAATTTCCGTCGAGTCACAAGTCAGTTCGAGTCCAAGTCCGAGTCCGTAGCCCCCAAGTCCGAGTCATTAAAAATGTGACTTGAGTCGGACTCGAGTCCGAGTCATGAGTCATACAAGTCTGCATAATACAAAAAGAATTTTGAATTTTGCATGTTGCGGTCATAAGATATGGCTTAAAGGTCCAAAAATTCAAAAATCATATAAAATCGTACGATGACGTCATCATGACGTCACCTCAATTTTTACTTATAACACATCCTGGTCTATCCACATACCGAGTTTCAACCCAATCGGACTTACAGTTCTGTAGATATAGGACTTCAAAATATGCATGTTTGCGATGACGTCATCATGACGTCACCTCACTTCCCGGTCTACCTACATACCAAGTGATCATTCTGTAGATATAGGACTTTGTAATGAATGATGAAGTCACGTGACCCATGATGACGTCATCATGATGTCCATCTTCGGGACACATCTTTGCTAGAACTATGCCTATGCCGACTTTGAATAATGTATGACAAAGATTAATGCCAAAAGTGGAGGCCAGAAAAGACGTGCACAAAGTCAATGGACTTTGAAATGGAACAAAAAGAAGAAGAAGAAGAAGAAAGAAAAAAAAAAACCAGCACAAAAACAAAGGCTTTTCCGCATTTTGCGGAAAAGCCAAAAATGTACGTCTTTACACTACGCGTCACTGAAAAAAACTAGGACGAGCTATTGCGTTACAGGGTCCTTTGTGGGCATGGGGCATGCAGTGGACAATGTGGGTGTGGCTTGGGCACTATTCTTTTCAGCGAATGTTTGTGCACATGCGCGCTGATATGCAAAGAGGTGAGGTGTTTTCTGTAATGGAATGAACTCGTCCCTTTTGCCTGCTTGAGGGCACCTCCCCGCTGATGCTCAATAATAAGTGGTGATGCTATGCTTGACTGCATTTTACCAAATATAATTCACCTTATTTCTTTAGGAATTATCTGGGTGTCTACATGCATACTGTATATAGGGCTGAAACGATACACCTGGGTCATGATACGATATGTATCACGATACATGCCAAACGATACGATAGGTATCACGATATATATTAAAACAACATTTTGCAAAATCACTGAAAACAACAGTAACACACAATTCAATTAATAAAAACAACAAAATAGTGGGTAAAATGAGCGAAATATTATTACTGCGCTCTAATAATACATGTGCAAACCTGACAAACCAATCTTTCGACGCTACGACGCGAGCCATGCTTGGGGCGTGCGGAGCCAGCGAAATATGAACCGGGACGATCTGAGTTGTGTTTTTGCAGCCAGCTGCACGTTATTTTTGGCACATCGCCACTACCAAAAGTATGTGGCACTTCTTTTCTTAGAACTTAGGCACAGTTGTATGTATCGTTTTGTATCGTTATTTTAACATTCGTATCGATAAATCGTATCGTATCAAAATATCGCAATATGGATATCGATGTATCGTTTCAGCCTTAACTGTATATGTCTACAAGTCTGAAAGTCATTTGCTGTCAGGAATGTATGTTTTCTTTAGAAACTATTGGTTTAATTACATATTCCTTAAATGTTGAATTCCTCATTCTGTACGTCAAAATGAAATGTTTAAAAGTCTGCATACTCACTCTTTGAGGATCGATGGAACTCTTGAATACTCCATCTTTTGCCTTGATGACAGCTCCCCTAATGCGATGGTTGATATTTACAAAAGACCTACCAAAGTCTTTGCTAGAAGTGCAAATAAAAATCAACACAGCACTTATTAAAACTACCCACAAGACTTTACTTTTTTTTAAACAGGTATCGCCAAAACAAAAGGCTAAGCACCACTCAAGGTGTGGTTTACAAACTAGAAAGAACAACTAGAGGTCTATGTCTGTTTGCAACAGAACATAGGGCTTTTCCGCATTATGATTTTTTTTAATCAATTATATGCCCTGAATATGTATGAACATAAAATCTGTCAAAGTTAGCCGAAAATCGGCTAAAACGGTCACTGTGGACAGGATTTGACCTCGGCAATACGATGTATGTGCGTGTGTACATGGTCTTTGCTTGGACAAAGAGTGATCTAAATGAATTACTGGCAAAAAGTCGAAAATGCACTTTGAAAATCGACAATTTTTTTTTAATTTTTGATGAAATCATCGTGACGTCACTTCGGACTTTGCATACTAGTACGATTATCTACCTACCCACCAAGTTTCATGACAATTGGACCTTTCCTTATATGAGTTTTGAAAAATCGCATTTTGATGACGTCATATTAATGACGTCACACATTTTTGAAGTTTTGTGCGAATACCTATTACCTAACAGACCAAATGCATAAAAGAATTTTGCATTTTGCATGTTGCGTTCGGGAGATATGGCTAAGGGTCCAAAAATCAAATATTCATATAAAACATCAGGATGACGTCATCATGACGTCACCTCATTTTTAATCTATAACACATCCTGGTATAGCCACATACCAAGTTTCAACCCAATCGGACTTACATTTCTGTAGATATAAGACTTCACAATATGCACGTACATTTTTAAAAATAAAAAAAAAATTAGGTGATGACGTCATCGTGACGTCATAGTCTTGTCATAATTTTTGTATGAGGGTCTTCCTTGGCTGTAACTTTGATGACGATTCCAGATCGCCAAGTTATAAAAATGGTGAATTGAAAACGTGTACAAAGTCAATGGGTTAAAAATCCCACAGCAGAAAAACTGCACCTTTAAATACGTGATTTGCCTTTAAACTGAAACATTTTTATAAAATGTTACTTGCTATTCTAACTCTTAGGAATATTTTCAATCAAATGACAGGCGTAAAAACATACGATTTCTTTTTCCTTCTCATAGTAATTCTCGGCCGAAGTTCAGAACTACTCAGTAAGATATATCAGTGTTGTATAGGGAAAGACTTGTGGAGAAAGCTGTGTACAAAGTATATGAGAATAATTAATTATTCATAAATCCATAATAAATCACTTGATGACGTCACCATGACGTCACTCTTCGGGACACATCTTGGCTATAGGGACTATGCTTATGCCAACTGTCAGTGATGTCTGACAAAGATTAATGCCAAAAGTTCTATAATACGTCCCTGTCTATGCGCATGCATGAACATAAAATCTGTCAAAGTTAGCCGAAAATCGGCTAAAACGGTCACTGTGGACAGGATTTAAACTCAGCAACACGTGCGCTGCAGGCTGACTGACATTCGATGTATGTGCCTATGTACATGTACAACGTACGTGCATGTACATGTACACATTGTGGACGTCCTGTGCATGTTTTAAAGCAGAGGTATTGTCAACCTGAAGTTTTAAGCGTGCGCAGGGCATGTCCGAGTTTGCTTATTGCCTCAATGCTTTGAAATGTTTTAGACCTACCCTTAAATCGACAATTTAAGTAAAAACTAATTTAAAAACTGCCATGGTTGATTTTTCAGGAATTTTCAAAAGAAAAAGAGTCTTTTCATTATAACTTCCGGTTTGATGACGTCATCTGCCTAAAACTTCGCACACGTCTTAAAGGGGTCAAGGTCATCATATACACCAATATTTAGGCGATTCCGACAAACTTCGCCACAGACATCTATTCAAAATACATTTTTGAAAATTCTCAACCTGTCGCTAGAGGGCGCTCGAAGATTGCATGACGTCATCGGTAGATGATTTGAAGAATACTATCGGCCAAGAGACTAACACCGTTAAAAGCAAGTTCATATCTATTACCACTTTTAAATAATAAGCCACTTCCGGTTTTGGCCTTTTTCGACCGGAAGCAAGGGTCACGTGATTTCACGCACACTGAATGAAATAAAGACCTCAACCTACTCTACCACTTGCCGGCAACAGAATGCTGCGGACGCGTACGGTTGATTTCTTATGCATTTTTAAATATTAAAAGTGCCACAATTTAATTGCCTATAAATTAACACGGGATGACGTCATCATGACGTCATCATTCCACAATGTTGTTTGAATTAGGGTCTTTGCTTGGATAAAGATTGGTGTAAATGAATAACTGGCAAAGAGTCGAAAATGCCCTGTGAAAAGCGACAATTTTTTTTAATTTCTGTGTACAAAGTCTATGGGAAAAATTAAATATTCAAAAATCTATAATAAATTAGTCGATGACGTCACCATGACGTCAATCTTCGGGACACATCTTTGCTATAGAGACTATGCTTATGCCAACTTTGAATGATGTCTGACAAAGATTAATGCCAAAAGTGGCGTGTAGAAAAAACGTGTACAAAGTCTATGGGCTTTTGGGAAAAAAAGAAGAAGAGGAAGAAGAAGAAGAAGAAGAAGAAGAAGAAAGAAAAAAAATCAGAACAAAAAGAAAGGCTTTTCCGCAATAATGCGGAAAAGCCAAAAACGAACAAAAGAAGTCATAGTGGCAAGGCAATATATGTGTAGTTCTTTTTAAGCGTGAAAGAAGTGTGGGTAGAAGTGTAGGTAGAAGAGAATCCAATTGTAGAGAATCAAAATGTACGGAGTTCCAGAGAGAGAAAGAAATCAGGGAAAAGTTGACAAGTATCTCATCATACTAACCTTTGAAACTGTCACAGTGAATGTATGTGACCAGATAGTCAGTAGAATGCTTGAAAGGTCAGTCAAGGGGGACTAGTACATGTAAATCTTAAAATGTCTACATCAATTGTTTAAATAGTATTCTTAGATCAAAAATAAACTTGTCCTTTTGTGAAGAAGGCAATCTTGAAAAGAAAATGCAAGGAAAAAGAAGAAAAAAAATCTTGAAAGAAATGAAAAATTTACTGACCTTATCCAAAGCTGAGATTGTTCAGAAAAGAAAGTGTATTCCATGGTTGATAATGCCATCAGCTCCTGGAAGGCAAGCATGACAAAATAAATAATTCAACACTTGGATAATTTTGTAGAAGGCATAATTTTGTTTTTCTCATACATGTCATATGAAAGAAATTTCAATATTAAAAGGGAACAAATGCGTGTTTGGCCGGTTTAATGTTTAAGACCAGTTGGAGTCTGGATGCTGATAATTACCCGAGCCGAAGGTCTAAAAATTAAAAAAATTTGGTCCAAAAGTCAAAACAAGTCAACAATTATACATTTCCAATGATTTTGTTCAACAAGTTTGTACTTCATGTTTTTCGAAACACCCCTCGGGGAATGTTTTACGTCCCTCTCGCGAAAAGTCGCGAACAACTCTTTATATGGAGGAGTCGTCATCCTGCACAATGTGGCGCAGAAGGCAGCTGTGCCGGTATACATGTATTGTGAATTTAGGACTGTGAAATACTGACTCACCGGGAGTACCGTATGTGCATGCCTACGTGAGGATTGCAAACGTTCACACAATAAAACGTTAAAGGCACAATTCCAGTGACACTGGAAAAGTGTTTAAAACCAACCAGCCAGTGCTTATCAACCAGTGCTTATCAATACCGCAAACAATAATGGTACTACACAAGTGTGAGGTGACACAAAATACTGCTGTGCATTCGTCACAAGTTTTTGCAAGGTCAGAGTTCCAACCAACAAAGATTTTATCACCAGTCTACTCAGCTAATGTCAAAGATCGTTCAAGACCATTTTCTACTTCAATTTCATCAGAGTTGTGGAGTTATTTTGTGAAATTCATCTTGGATTTCTTGCTTCTCTGAACTGAAAAGTGAAGCCATTTTGCATCATGACCAGTGAACCATGAGTACCAGATGCCATTGTTGCGATGGCTGTTTATCTCACTAAGCTGCAACTGCTGGCCACACTGCTATTGATTAAGCCTGTTGCGGCCGCGGAGGCCAAGAACCGGTTCCATTTTATCGGGTCAGGTACCCGTAACCGAATTTATAAATTTGGACGCAACGTCCGAGACAAAAAAAACCACAAGTACATGCATTCAAATATCACTAACAGAAGATTTACAAAGTTCAGAGTGAGTTTACCGACGATTCCAAAACTCCATTTTGCGGTTTATATTTTGTTTTCAGTTTTATTTAGACCATCTTTGATGCGTCTCCAGAAGTCCGAAATTGGCGAAACACGATAGTATCAACCCATTGTTTGTGTTTGTAATAAAGCTTCTTGTAGCCGCTAGCCAGGAAATCAACTTCTCTGATGCGCCGCAGATGGCGGGTAGTACCCATAACAAGTCCGTAACCTAAGATTTACAAAGTTCAAAGTGAATTACCAACCATTCAAAAAACTCCATCTTGCGGTTTTTAGTTTGTATTCAGTTTTGTTGACTATCTTTGAAGTTTGAATTGATGCGTCTCCAGAAGCACGAAAGTTGACCCATTGTATGTGTTTTTAATAAGTTTCTCGTAGCGGGCCGCCAGGAAATGATCTTCTTTGATGCACCGCAGATGGCCGAATAAACAAACGATACTAAGTGATTGGCGTTTTAATTGCAGTCACGCACAATAAAAAAAGATGACAAAATGTAAGCCCAAGTTACTTTGCTGTGTCTGTGTGATTATTTCTTGTCCCTGACATTCCCTGTCTCATAACCTTGCTGTCCGGTGATCATCATGCCACGTTCAGGAAGTAGCCACGTTTGGTCACATTTTGAGAAAAAGTCAAAACTGTTTGTAAATTAATTGTTTTTTTGGGGGGAGGGCTTTTACGGGTACCCGGGTACCCGACCTTGACCGGGAAAGGGTACCAGTTCCAGTCAAAACCGTAAACAAACAGGCCTACTATTGATATTCATCAGCTGTGGTCATGGAGATCCCTTTGTTCCTTCTGGATCAACTGTCAAAGCCAGGACTGGACATGCCATGTACCATGGGCAGAGAATTCTGTACTACAGTAATTCCCACTGTACCTTCCAATTTCAAATCATCAGGTCAGGAGACATTCAACCAAATCCAGGTCCTTGACCAGCCCCATGACCTTTACAATTCTACCATTTTAAACTGTGTCCTGCTAAATGCCCGCAGTGTGGTCAACAAAACTCTCAATCTTCAGACAGAACTGACCCTTAACCGCATCGACATCGCTTGCATAACTGAAACCTGGCTATGCCTTGACATCATGGACTCCGAAATTTTGGACACCTCACAGCACCAATTATTCAGGCGCGACAGAAATCGCAATGGGGGTGGTGTGCTCTTTGCATGCAACTCAAATCTAATGCCATCACGACAAGATGAATTTGAGCCCTCTTCCGACATCCAAGCCAACTTCAAAGAATGTGAACTCATCTGGGTCCAAGTCATTCTTCCACACAACAAGGGCAAACTACTCATCGGGACTTGCTATCGACCTCCATCCTCAACAACAGGATTTGATGAAGCACTTTCCTTCTCGATCAACCGCATCCTTCCCTGCTCACACCAATTTCAAGCAATCCTCCTTCTCGGTGACTTTAATTTACAAATACCCTGCTCGGCATCCTCTGATGAACACAACCCCCCATCTCTCAACACTCGCTCCGCTGCTGCTCTTAACATCATTGAATCCCTGAACATGTCTCAACTGGTCTCCTTCCCTACAAGACAAAATCCACATGGTGACGATTCCATGTTGGAACTCATTTTCTGTAATGACCCAAGCTGGACTCAGAATATCCACAAAGAACCTGGTCTGGGCAACAGTGACCATGACTCTGTTCACTTCCAGATTTGCACAACATCCAAATACCAGTTTCTCCGCCGTACCTTCCACCAATTCCACAAGGTCGACAAACATGATTTTCAGATGACCCTACAATGTATTCCGTGGCAGCTGTTCTTTGAAGATGACGTAGACGAGACATGGGACACTTGTGACACTTGTCACTTGTCCATGCGGCAGTGAAGGATGTCGTTCCCATCGCCACCTCCAAAGGACACCGCCGGTCCCCATGGATTACAAGTGACATAGTCAAAGCGGCGTGAAGAAAGAACCGAGCATACGGACGTGCTGTGAAGAACAAGAACAATGCCAACTTATGGGACAAATACAAAGAATTAAGATCGCTGGTTAATCAATTGACAAGGAATTCCTACAATGATTATGTTCATAGTTTAGCTCTAGATTGTAAAGACAACCCCAAGCATTTTTGGTCTTTTGTTAACGGTAAGAGGAAGCACCAATCAATACAACTTTTAATTGCAACAACCAAACCTTCTGTGATCCAAGTGCAATTGCTAATGCTTTCAATGTGAATTTCCAAAGTAACTTTTCTCCACAGCAATCCACTGCCCATCCTGGTATTAGCCCTCTCCATAATTTTCATGTTTCTCAAGCAGATGTTATGAAGGCCATCGATAAACTTAATCCATCCAAACCCCCCTCCCCCCCCCCCCCCCCCCCCCGGCTTGGATGGCATATCTCCAAAAATTCTAAAACTAGCTGGCACTTCAATTGTTCCAACATTAACTAACATATTTAATCTTAGTCTTTCAACTAGTGTAGTTCCCCACACCTGGAAACAGGCGAATGTTGTTCCTTTGTTGAAACACGGCGATAAATCTCACATTGTTAATTATAGACCTATTTCCCTTGCTTCTGTTCCTTGTAAAATGCTTGAAGGTTTTATAAGCAAGAAACTACTGGTACTTGACCATTCTTCTCAGCATCATATCATCCCCGACTCCCAACATGGATTTCAGCCCAGACGTTCCTGTACTACTCAGTTAACCACCCACTTTGACACCCGAGCTCTTGATGTTTCCAATCCTCCTGGAATTGATGTAATCTTTCTTGACTGGTCTAAAGCCTGTGACAAGTGTGACCATTCAATCCTCCTTCATAAGTTACACCAATAAAACACACTTTCATGGATCAGTAATTTTCTTTCCAACAGAGAACAGCGTGCAGGGGTGGATCCAGGATTTTCCAAAAGGGGAGGGTGTGAAATATTTGAAACCTGTGCGGGAAGTTATGATGTGACACACCAGCTCGCGAAGCCACGGCGTGGGGTTCGGGGCCCGCCTAAGGGCCCCGAAACATTTTGAACTTTAGAAGCTCTCTGGTGCATTTTAGAAAAAATTTGGGGCTCTCTGGGGTAGATTTTTCCTCAAAATTCAGAGGAGATTTATTTTTGTTTTAAAATAAATATTGAATAATCATTTTAAAAAAACATTACAACTTCCTAAACTGGAAAAGTATATGGATTCAAGTTGAGAAATGAGTCAGAAGAACCAACAAAATCTGATTCCTATCACATTCCTATCGCGCCGAGTTATCGAGACTGTCCATCAAAACTTTTTGATAAAAATTTGCCTTACCTAACAGGAAAATATATTTAAGGTGGATTTTCTTTAAAATGATGGAGAATTAAGTCGTCCACACCTGCATACTCAAACAATGATATTATGACAATGTTCGGTTACTATCAGCCGCTGGCCAGCACTGGCCGTATATTGTGTCGCGCACTTTATCGGTGTGCATTCATAACAGCACTGTATTGTGTAGCGCACTAGCGGACCCGAAAATGAATCCATGTGCTGTGGCAAAAGAAGTTTGCAGAAACACGCTACGTTGTCTCACGTACGAGCGGAACAATCTCGTTGTAAACATTTATTTTTATGGAAAATACATACACAGAAAAGAGAGATCACGTTCTGGGAATTAATTCGAAGAAATTCTCTTTCTCCATCGATGTTCGTTTGGTACCGGTATATGATCCAAATTCAACGCACTCAACGCAACGTAAATGTAGCCCGTAGTCACAGGTTCTGGTCCTACATCATAGCTTTGATTCTGTTTAGCACGCGGTGGGAACCAGTGGATGACGATGGCACTGCACTGCACTGCTGCATGCCGTAAGGACGGAACATCGTACAGCGGCATGTATTCGATGTCGTGAATATGCACTTTGATGACACATGCATCAGAACTACAAGCTTTTTCCGTCAAGATTTAGCATGTGCAGGTGAAATTAATAATAGCATGTGTTACATTTTTTTTCTGAAGAAAAATGCCCCCCCCCCCCTGGATCCGCCCCTGGCGTGTCATCTTTTCAGGCGCTAGATCTGACTGGATACCAGTAACTTCAGGAGTTCCCCAAGGCTCAGTCCTTGGTCCTACCGGGGTATATTATTTAATTTCTTCACAGCTGACTTATCAAACTATGTTCAATCTTCTCTTCCTCAATATGCCGATGACACCGTTTTGTATAGGATTATTAGAAGTAATGATGACAGTCCCATTTTGCAGAATGACCTCAACTCTATTTCCAGATGGTGTTCTGATAATCGGATGCAACTGAACCCCACCAAGTGCAAAGTTATGCATGTCGCCCGCTCCAAAAAGCAATTGCTAACCCCTTACTTTTTTGCAGATTCCGATGAACCTCTTGATGCTGTCACCTCTTATAAATATCTTGGTGTTATTCTTTCGAGCGACCTAACCTGGACCAAACATGTAAATTCTGTTCGTGCCAAGTGTTCTAGACTTGCTGGCTTCATACGGTGCACTGTAAAATAAAAAAAATGCTGAAGTTCTTCTCAAATTATATCGTTCTCTCTGCAGGCCCATCTTGGAATACGCCGCGCCGGTTTGGCTACTTCACCAGAAGAACCACATCCAATGCCTTGAGGCAATTCAACGTTGCTTCACTAAATCTTGCTTCCATTACAATGTTGCTATTTCTCTTTCCTATGAACAACGCCTGTCCAAACTTCACTTGCCTCCCCTCTACAACAGACTTGTATACCTCAGTGCTTCCTTTGTCATTAAATGTCTCTACAATCACATTTCTGTTTCTTCACATTTTCTCCCACAAGCCAACACTAGGAAAACCCACCCCCTCCTCTTCAAACATCAGTACAGCCGGACAAACTGTGTCAAATTTTCTTTGTTCACCCTCTTTCCCAGGTTTTTTAATTCACTTTCCACCGTTGTTAGAGACCTTTGCCTGGAACGTTCCCCCAAACCTCTCATCAATTCTTTACGTGATCATCTGTTCAGTCTAGACCCCATCTCTCATGCATTCTGGAGTTTTCCTCCCAAGATATTTTTATCCTGACTTCATGTTTTCATAAATCAAATTTCTCCGGCTCAACAAATTCCTTTCACTGCATATTATTATTATTAATTATTATTATAATAATGATTTGGACATACATGTAGCATGTATGCCAGCTGTTCTTTTATTTATTTATTTATTTAATTTAATCTTATCTTGTTTTATTTATTTAATTTAATCTTATTTTACTTTATTTCATTTTATTTTATTTTAGTTTATTCTAATTATTTCATTTTATTTTTATTCTATTTAATCTATTTGTTTTATTTGTTTATTTATTTATTTATTTACACTTATTGTGATTTTTAATTTTTAATTGTATTTTTAATTATATTTTGCATAACTGCTTAATTTTATAAATATTTTATTTAATGAATTTTATCCTAAATGTATTAATCACTGTTACCCAATTAGTTTGGAGAGCCCCTCGGCAGAAACTTGTTTCTTTTGGGTAATCCTGCGGGAGCTTTTTGGGTGTCGTTTTCTGTTACGTTTTCTGTTATGTTTACTACTCAGTGTTATTTGTACATGTAATTGTTTTGTCTGTAATTCACTGTTTGTAATATCCCGGAAAATGGAATAAATAAATAAACCTTTTAAGACCGGCCACGTGACGGGCTCTCGACCTATAGGAATGGGTAAACTGTCTTAGGTATTTATGAATGACTGTTAAAACTCAATTTGAGGCCAAATACAAACAATCATCATTGGTGCCATAATGTCGCTGGTATGGCAGAGAATCATGAAATCATTTTACAGACACTTCTCCCCAAACTGATTGCTGCAACACTGTCCAGTAAGGTGTTGCATTATTGGCAATAGCACGGGTTTACCCACTTGTCCCTGTACTGCCCCACAACTGCCCCATTTCTCCATGGTTGTATGGATTCATCAAGAAGTAAATCTAGTGCTGCAACTGATCCTCAAAGTGCGGTTCGGTTCGATTTTTTTTTCTTCGAACTTCGGTTCGGTTTCAGAAGTGCATACATAATCTACATGTCCTTAGTACAATGTATAGGGCTATGTATAAAAACCATAAGCCGTTCCCCTGTTTGAACAAATACATGTATGTGTGTACCGCACACGTCTGACAGAAATAGGCACCGCAATTTCCACATGCTGTATAACACAAGTTGAAGGAGGAATCTCATTTTTGTTGTGTAAACAAAATACCGTAATAATTTGAGTTTATGATGTTGGGCATTGTAAATTGCTACATGTTACCTATTGCGGCCCTCAGGCTATCCCGGCCCGGCGAACTACATGTATAGGCCTATATGATCACAATTTTCCGCCACGTGCCGACTTGTTTCCCGACGAGTTCCGTCTGAGCATGCTCCGAGCAGGTCATTTTACTGTACTAAACTTATGAAATCATAAATATTTTTAGCAACAAGCTGACAAATAGCTACCGTACAAAAAAATTCAATTTTTTGATTCATACAATGTTTGTAACTTTCATCAAATTCTCATTCTGTGGACGTATCCATTAATTTTGTAAAGGGGTGCTCCACCCTCTTTTGGAAGATTACATCGTTTTTGGTATAAATTCTTTACGCAAAAAAAATATGTTGCGACGATTAAGAACTTATTCTGAACAAGGGAAAGGTTGCTGACTCCATAAAACGTATTTTTTTAAATTTTGACACGGTGAAAAAACTGAAAATGCTGGTAAATTGTGCCGAGGAAAGCACACCCTTCACTGCAAATGGTTTGGTCCACACAAACTACGTCACGCTGGAATTGAACATGGCAAGGAAGTGGGATATCGGCCGCACTGGCCAAAGAGCATGCTTTTTGAGAGAATTGCAGGTGGGTACGGATATATCCTATTACATGCCTGGCTAGAACATCACAAATAATGAAGATGAATGCGGTGACCTGTCAACATGGTAAATTCAATCATCCGTGCGCTTAAATTTTGCCCTTTCATTGCAAGTTTTAACATTCCTAGCGCTATCAACAAATACTTGCCAAACTCTTCCGAATCGACATTTGGGTTCGGTTCGGTTTGGAAGGCCAAGTTCGGCTATTTTTAGTTCAGTTCGACAGTTCAGCTGCAGACTGCAGCACTACCACGCAATACAAGTACTAATGGGTTAATGAATTATGACATCCAAATAATGTATGAGGAATGGTTCTCACCTTGCCATCTGTTCCAGTCCATATCATTGCCAAATTGAAGTTGCTGTCATTGAACATGTACTGGACAAAAAAAGCAGATTAAAAAAAGGTGTAAAATTTGCATGTTTAACAAATGCAATGGTTGCAGCATGGTATTATGCAGATTTTATGTAGATTGTAAAATGTAACGTTTGAGAATATTTCTCTATTTTAAAAGACCACATATCATAGTGCTGCGCATTTTAAAATAATTTAGTATTTGATCTCCCAACTTGAATTTGATAAAATATTCCAACAGTGACCAAAACAGTTAAATTAGTTTCTATTTAATCAAGTGTCAGATCCAGAACTGTTGTTGATCCGGAACTGTCACACTGAATGTACAGTAGCAGTGTAGGCTATAGCCCCATAAATGTGGCTTAAATACTGGACTTCCTTCGCATTAGTAAGCCACACAAGCGGTATACCAAAATGGGTGCCGGGAAGGTCCCATTGCTGGGGTAGCAGAAAATCAAACAAAAATCGGAACTATTTTGTCACTTTATAATCACCAAAGGCCAATTCTGGCATGACAGAAGGGACAGATTTACACAACCTACATGTATTTTTTTAAAGGCCTGCCACAACCAATGTGTAAGGTGTTACTTTCTTAGTTAGGTACAGTATGTATAAGGTCAAAGTAAACAATCTATATTTCAAATTAAAAAAAAATCCATAAAACTAGAGGATTCAGTGGCTGTATAGTGACAAAGTGAAATCAGATTGACGGATGGGACGGATATTACACTCCATATTTTGAAAATGACTTTTGTTGGAGAAAGTTATCTGGGAAATTTAATGTGTTTTTTTTTTTTTACAATGTAATTCAAAACATTGAAGTGGAATTACCAGGCTCATTAATGTTGTGACAGACGGAACATTTTTATGTTCTGAATAAATGTAGGCACAAGCATTTATTATTTTAAAAAAGGACATGTAGTAGGCCTATACTAAAAACCTGAAGGGTCTCCAAAAATGCAAGTTCAACCTTTTTTTTAACAGGTGATCAAAAAAATGTGACAGACAGGACAAAAATACCTAACAAATGTAGGCACAGCATTTATTACTTTTAAGGGCAAGCAGTATATTAAAAACCACAAAATATAAAGATTGGAGTGGCCCAACTATAGATTGGCCCCATCAACATGATCAATAGCTAATTTCAATGGTCCCAAGTAAAGTCAGACGTGTATCAGAGCTGTAGGGAAAGTTTTATAGATGTACATCAATGTAAACTATAGTTGGGACCTCAAAATAAAAAGATTAGAGTGGCCCAACTATAGATGGGCCCCACCCATAGCTAATTTCAATGATCCCAAGTAAAGTCAGACGTGTATCAGAGATGTTTTATAGTCACAAAGCAATGTACATGTGTAGGGCCAATGATTTTCCGTTTCAGAAAAGTGCAAATTCTGTTTTCAAAAATCCTGAATTCCGTTTCAGGCTGAAAAATTCCGTTTCACATTTATTCAATACAAAAATTGGCATTTTACATATGTATATAATGCATTATACAATGAACACAGACAATAATTCCAAGACGATAATGAAAAAGTCGTTTGGTTGGAGCGCGGGAAAACTGCCCTCAAAAAGATTGCTTTTTTTTATCAACGGCAAATCAATGTACAGACGTAGTATTTAACTTCGCCACAGTCAAGTCGTACATGTATGCACTGCACACAGCCACTGCCACACACGCAAGAAACATGCAATAGCCGTACAGGCCAATCCCATGACGTCACACACATCACTGGCCGAAGCGAAATTCATGTAGGCCTACACCATTTCGTTTTCGGGCTAACGTTAGCGGCAAAATAGGATAGTTTACGGTAGATTTTTTGACCTAAGCATGACATGCATTTCTATAGAGCCAAAGTTATATGTTATACAATTGGTTGACTGACTGCACAGAGAAAAATAAACCTACCGATGGAGCAAAAGAGACCCGCAAGAGCGTGTTGTGAGTGTGATGATTTTCACCCGTGCACTGGCCGACAGCTACGGCGTGCGTCGGGACTGTCACTCCCATGACTACGCGTACTACTACGGTAATGATCTCGTAAGATTTGCTCTGATCTTGAACGTTTTTGTCCCACCAAAAGCGTGATATAAACACCGCTCATTTGTTATATGGCTCGTCTGTTCAATCAATCATCAACCATTCATTTTGTATTCGATAAATTTTATGAAATTATGTTTTTTATGAATGAAATTACAGAAGTTATTTTGTTCAGATTCAAACTCCGTTTTCCGTTTCGAGGGGCAGATTCCGTGAATTCCGTTCCGTTTTCCGGGATTGCGGAAAATCATTGGCCCTACATGTGTAAACTATAGTTAGGACCACACAATTGGAATGGCCCAATCTATATGGCCCAATTATAGATATTGCCCCACCAGAAATGTTTCTTATAAATAACAGAAAAAAAAATATTAAAAACAATCAGCAGCAAAAATCAAAACAGGTCGATTGAATTCATACATGTACAACTGACAGCATTCACATCCAATTGTGGCTTAATAGATAATTCATAACAACGACAAAAATATATTAAAAGAAAAAACATCTGACATTGGGAGACCATTCGGTTTATTGGGGGGTGGGGGGATACAAAAGCTCATTAACATTCGATCCCCATCCCATGGTTGACACGTGACGTGTGCTGAACTGAGTTTAAACCATGGAGCTATATTAAATTACTAGAGCGCTAACATCGATGTACAAAGTAATGCCTGATGGGCGCATCCATGTTTGTGCACAAACCTACAGATGGAAATCTCGAAATTTTGTATGGCTTTTGTACAGCTTTATCTGCATTTGTATTCCATACCGGTGCGTCATCGAAGCCGATACGCTCAAAACCGAAATGCACGATCAGCAAATGAGCGTTTCATTTTGCTCTACGCAAACAGCGCAACGTGTGCACGTCTCTCCACTGCAGATGCTTTTCGCCGTGACATTTTTTAACCGTCATGACGCACTTAAGTTGTTTACGTATCTTATACTTGCGCGTCACTTTTAAAATTCAATCCACCTATTTTGCTTGTGTTCTACAAACACGCACATAAATTCAAAATGTCTGCGCCCAGAGCGGCTTCAAAGCATCTCCGCGCGCAAGAATGAGTTAGCGCTCTAGTAAGTTAATATAGCTCTATGGTTTAAACGTTTTTCCTTGTTCAGGGTGGGAGTTCACCGTGTACGGTCCTCCATTTTCCATGGAGGAAGCTCCATTTGGTACTAGTTTATAATAAAGTCAGGTATCGTCCAGCGGAAAACACTCAACGCCTGCGCATGTATACGGCATTTGCCAGACTCCTACAATTTAGCGGTACGCTTGTTGTTGTGGCAGCGCTGCACGCAGCTGGCCCCCTTGACTCCAAACTATAGTTGGGCCAGCCCTAGCCCCATAATTTTGTAGTTAATAATTATGTCTAATTTTCGTGAAATTTCATGTTGAAATTTTGATACACAAACATATGCAACTAATCTGGAAAATTCACGAAAAATAGACATCTGGAAAAGGCAGCACTTTCTAATTAGCTTACAAAGAGGGTGAGTATGCTTCTAAAGCAAAAATAAACTACAAACTAAGCCTAAATGTGAAAATCAAAATTTGACAAAGTTCTACATGTTTTTGTACATGGTGGAAGTGTGGCCTTTATTTACAGAGGTTGTCCAGTAAATTGGCCACATTTATGAGGCTACGCTAGCTGGAATTACCCAGCCCTAAACGTTATTAAAACAGTATTGAGAGTCCCAAATTTTCGGACAAACGCCAAGGGTGCTACACAACTGTTGGTGGTAATCTAATAGGCCTATGTCTTATAATTCAGCCCTATCTTAGAGAGTACAGCACCCTCTGTTGATATGGATTGCCGCCGGCAAACCTTTAGTAAACGTTAGCTTGCTGGCATTACCTCCAGCAATATATCGGTACAACTATAGAATACAGGGCCACTTCACTCTACATCCGCGCCTCCGAGAATTGCGCCCTCTATCGGCGCGCGTCACTGCGACTCCGCGAGCATCACTGCGACTCCGCGACTCCGCGCTTCCGCGACTCCAGTGCCCCGTCGCCCTCCTCCCTTCCTTTGAGAGGAAATTAAAAATGGATATGGATGCTTCGTTCTCAAAAAAATACCGCCGAGAATTGCGCCCTCTATCGGCGGTGCGCGTCTCTGCGACTCCGCTACTCCGCGACTCCAGAGTCCCCCTTCCGCGACTCCGCGACTCCGCGACTCCAGTGCCTCGTCGCCCTCCTCCCTTCCTTTGCGAGAAAAATAAAAATGGATATGGATGCTTCGTTCTCAAAAAAATACCGCCGAGAATTGCAACCTCTATTGATGGCGCGCATCCCTGCGACCCCGCGACTCCAGTGCCCCGCGTCTCTGCAAACTCCGCGCCTCCGCGACTCCAGTGCCTCGTCGCCCTCCTCCCTTCCTTTGCGAGGAAATTAAAAATGGATATGGATGCTTCGTTCTCAAAAAATACCGCTGAGAATTGCGCCCTCTATTGGCGGCGTGCGTCTCTGCGACTCCGCGTCTCTGCGACTCCGCGCCTCCGTGTCTCTGTGCCCCGACACATTTACAAGCGCGCCCTTCCTTCCGATCATTGATGAGAAGACAAGTGCATTCGCTGTACTTAGCGCTTTTTGCAGGTTTGCATATTATTATATTGTAGCCTATTACTCCTATCCTCACATCGCCGGCCTCGATCCACGCCTCCAAGCAGACAAAAAAACGTTGCTCCGGCGTGGCCCTGCATTCTATAGTTGCTCCAATATATCTAGGCTAGCCCCACTAGTGTGGCCGTCGGTATGCTGCGCTGAACCTAAGGCCACACACCGTGGTCCGCGCACTACTGAGGACGTTTTCATAAAATTTGCAGGGAATTTCTTACATATGGTTGTATGCTACGATGTCCCATCTATCACTTCTAGGATGCTTAGGTGTAATGATGTTCAATTTTCCAAGATATTCTTGAATCTTTCTGGAGCCCATATGCACTCGTGAAACGTCCGGTGATGGCAGCCATATTGAATGTGACAAGAGATGACCTCAAGCTGTGACGTCGCGTTTATGCAAATTGCTTGTCGAGCGAGGGCGTGAGTTGCAAATGCGACGGCTGTTACCTGTACCATGCATTTATCGTCTGGGGGCCACGTGCACTGATCTCTATTCAGGATCTACGGCCACACTAGTGGGGCTATATCTAGGCCTACTATCTTTTTTTTATATCAATTTGAAAAGGAAGATTTATACAACACAAAAGACAGGACAATTCGGGAAAGTTAGTGGGCAATCTCTATTCCGAAGGAGAAACATGGTAAGTACTGCGATAATACTAGGGCAACCCATCCTACTATTACTTAATTATAATACTACTAGTACTTACAAAGCTTGTATGCTTGGAATTAGACAGTGCTGCCATCTGTTGATCAGGGATACGACATTCTGAATCCTGGGTAGCCACATCAACCGGGTTAGATGCTACATCTCTCACTTGTCTGCGTTTACTTTTCACCTGTAGACGATTTCTTACATGTCTTTTGTGCTTAACGTTTGTCATGTTTCTTGTAGAAGAAAAGTCATTCTGACTGTACATCCCATCAATGCTTGTTGTGAATGTTGACTTCTTCATGTTCATGTTGATGTGGTTTCGTCGTACATGTAAGTTCATTTCCTTCGCACTTTCTGAGTACGTTAAATTTGCAAATAACAGCATAAACACAGAAAAACTTACATAACTTAGTATGCTTGATCGGTTAGCCATTTTGAAGCCTATTTCTTACCCAGCCATGCCACGAACCATCCACGCGGACTCTGGCGCTAGCGCTGTATGTACACGATCCTTGCTTTGCTACCAATAGTACCCCGGGTGACCGTAAGGTCATGACATAATTCTGCTAAATGCACTTCAAGAATCTGTCAGATTTGTCAAAAATCTGCCAAATTCCCCAGAACTACTCGAAAGTCTAAATACACTATAAACACTTAAAATCACATGCAGATGTTGTAATGTTGCCTTAACTAATGTTCAAATTATATCATAAACAATCTGTAACCACATAAAGATAATATGAAATTTCGTAAATTTCAGGCAATTAACATGCAGTTGCGTCACAACGAAATCCGGTTCCCAGTGAACCTCAGCATCTAGACCAGGCAACCTGTCTTATTTTGCAAGGGTTTGTTTGAAAAGATTGAAGCTTTTGTAAATAAATGTACCATTTTTTGGCAAATTTGCTGTTTATCTCTGTCAAATAACCATTTTGGCAGAATTCTGCCAGATATCTTGCCAAAAAATCCATTCTGTCAAATTTTCTGTCAAACTCCTTTTTTAACCAAAAATCTGTCAAAGTTAGCCGAAAATAGGCTAAAACGGTCACTGTGCATGTGCCACTGGCCAGGCCCGGCCAAAAGTATGTAGAGGGCGCTATACAACCATGTATGCGGCATAATAAAACCATATCATCATCTGCGTCAAATGTCCTCCTCTGCTCCCTGTCTGATGCCACGTGCCAGGTGTGTCGATCTTTGACGTTGACCCCCGTGGTTGTCAGGTCCTTGTTTTTTTCTATTCAGCCACGTGGTTCGTTGTCCCCCTCTTGGCAGCTTGTTCTTGCGGATTGCCTCTAGAAGTGTTTGCTTGGCAGGAAGGGATTGGGACTGTGTCTGCGTGTAGTAACTCAGTGTGATCCTGAAGAGTGAATGGTGTCTCGGGTGTTTCTGGGTCAAGTTGTCTCAGTGCTTTTGCCACTGGTATAGAGTGAAGAGAATGGGACCTAGGCAGTCTCCTTGACGCACGCCAATGTTGGTTTTGAAGGGCTTACCCAAGATAGTTCCCACTCTGACTTGTAATCGAACGTCTCTAAGCAAGATTGCCAGTAGGCCTAAGTGGAGTTCTATCGGCTGTGATGGCCTTCTCTGCTAAGAACTTTAAGGCAAAGACCTGCTCAGTGGTGCCTCTGCCGTGTCGATAGGCTGCTTGGGAAGCTAGTATGTGGTCGTCTAATCTGTCGGCGATTCTCTTCGTCAAACAAATGGCCATTAGGCCCCCCAAAAATTAAAATAATAGTCGGTCTCTGGTCAGACCGAAGTTCCGGAATTGATGCGGCGACGCGTTGTTTTTTTTGGGGGGGAGGCGTTTTGTTTTTTTTCAAGCTTGAATTGTATAGACAAGGTGGGTACTATTTTGCTTTTTTGTGTCCTCATTATACATTGGTGTCCTCCATAATTTGCCTTGGTGCCCTTTAACATTTGCCTTGGTGCAATTTCCCCATTCCTTGGTGCTCCTTGGTACACAAATTTGAGGAGGTGCGGCAATAGAGGGCGCTGTTGTAGTTTCCGTTTTAAGGGTGCATACCTGCAAATAAACTCCCATAGACACTAGTGCTAAATGCCCATACTTCAAAATTCTTTTAAAAATACTCAAAACTCTCACAGGTATTCAAGCTGCACAGAAAAATGATGATCAATGTGTCATCTTTCAATTTCTTTTCAATTTATGGTGGGTTGACCATTGACTTTTCGAGATATTATCACGCAAAGAAGACGACCCCTATTTTCCCCAAAGCGGAAAAGTAGCCATCTTGAAAAACGATCCCTCCACAACATGGCAAAATAGCGCCACTTTCGAGCCCAATATCATCCAAAATGCTCAGAATTGGAAGCCCCAAGTCCGGGCCAGAGGTTCACTACCATATCTCTTCAATTCCCCAATTTTACGGCGCTCAGAACTCTCTAATATTGAATATTTTGAGGGTATAACTTTTATTCATGAGCTTGGCGGATCGATTTACCGGTGTGTACCCTATAATAGCAGGCAACTTTTAAATTTTAACACAAAATCACATTCAGGACAAGCAGAATATCTCCAAAGTCAATATTTTGGAAAAAAAATGAAAGAAAAATATTATCCGAGGTCGATATTAAGCCCGAAAATAGTGATTGTTTTGCCCCTGCTAAGCTGTAGAGCGCCCCCAGCGACAATAAATTGAGTTCCAGCTACTTTTAAGCTCAAAATACCCCCCCCCCCCTTTTCAACTATCAATTGTTGTAATCGGGTGATAGCCTACTGCTCCCTTATGATTTGGAAGCATCCGTTACGGAAAAAACCCTTGTTGATACCTTTTAAACACTTTTCCCCCCTTCCCGTAGGTTCCGCCCACTGAAAAGACCACTGCCGCGGCACAGCGCATGCGCGAAACGGCCATCTTTGTGATTCTTTATAGGGTGCATACCTGCAAATAAACTCCCATAGACACTAGTGCTAAATGCCCATACTTCAAAATTCTTTTTAAAATACTCAAAACTCTCACAGGTATTCAAGCTGCACAGAAAAATGATGATCAATGTGTCATCTTTCAATTTCTTTTCAATTTATGGTGGGTTGACCATTGACTTTTCGAGATATTATCACGCAAAGAAGACGACCCCTATTTTCCCCAAAGCGGAAAAGTAGCCATCTTGAAAAACGATCCCTCCACAACATGGCAAAATAGCGCCACTTTCGAGCCCAATATCATCCAAAATGCTCAGAATTGGAAGCCCCAAGTCCGGGCCAGAGGTTCACTACCATATCTCTTCAATTCCCCAATTTTACGGCGCTCAGAACTCTCTAATATTGAATATTTTGAGGGTATAACTTTTATTCATGAGCTTGGCGGATCGATTTACCGGTGTGTACCCTTAATTTGAAGAAGAAAAAAAAGGTTGACGCGCATGATTAAAATCGACGCGCGCGCTGACCAGAGACCGAGTATTTTTTTTTGGGGGGGGGGGGGCTTTATGATTTTCCGGATAATGGTCAGGAGAACGATTGGCCTTATGTTTACTGAGGGTCCCTTTGGTTTGCCTGGCTTAGGAAGAGGAACGAGAATACCTTCTTTGAATAAAACCTAGACACGACATGAAAACTGCGCGTAAATCGAAGCCACATGCATGATAATGGACCGATCCAGTAAGCACCGCCCCATGGTATTCTGACCAATCACAGCCGTGATTTATGTCCGACGTGCGTGCACAAACGTCCGACATGCGTGCACGCGCGTATGATACGCGCGGCAGGAAAATGCAGTGTGGCATTGGAGAGCAGCACGTGTTAATTTGCCCACGTGCGCAGTGGGCGGGGCTTACTGGATCGGTCCATTCGCGTTGCGCGTCAGGCCGCGTGACGCAGCCCTTTTGCTCACAGAATTCACAATAAAAGCAGATAGGCCTAATGTCGTTTATTATTACTGACATACAGATCCTAGTCATTTGATTGGTGGAACTCACATCACGTGACATTCGGCTCAAAAGTACTATCCGCCCCTATCCGCCCATGGGGAATGGGAAATATTATACAACACCTGAATAAATCCCCGTCATCTGATTGGTGGAACTTTGATCACACGTCATTGAATTATTCGTACAAACGCACGGCGCGCGCGTAGCGCGCAGCGCACAGTGCAATGGAAGTTCCGCTATTGCACTGTGAATAGAACTTCCATTGCACTGTGTCACTGCTGTTGGTGGTGGCGCTGTTTTAAATCGGGATAAATAGACCGCTTGCAGACGCGATCGATAATTGACGCGCGAAGGTGCACGACGCCATGTTATGGGACAAAATGTGCATGGATAGATATACGCCTGTCCCACAACATGGCGTCGCTCGCCTTCTCGCGTCGATTATCGAACGCATCTGCAAGCGGTCTATTGAATATGATTGTTCTCAACCTGTTGAACAGTGTGCATTAATATATTATAAATATGATGAACTTGTCGAACTTTTAATAAGTTTTTACCTGAATAAATTGGCTATTAAAAGTCAACCAATCAGATGACAAGGATTTATTCAGGTGTTATATAAACAAATAATGAATGTTTCACGTTCGTGCAATGGAAAGAATAATTTCATTTGGTGACAGATGAGATGTTCCATTCCACTCGGCTTCGCCTTGTGGAATGGAACATTCCATCTGTCACCTCATGAAATTATTCTTACCATTGCACTCACAAAAGTATTTGTATATTATACAACACCTGAATAAATCCCCGTCATCTGATTGGTGGATTGTTGATCACATGTCATTGAATTATTCGTACCAACGCACGGCGCGCGCGTGGCGCACAGCGCTCAGTGCAATGGAAGTTCGGTTGCACGCTGAATAGAACTTCCATTGCACAGTGTCACTGCTGCTGGTGGTGGCGCTGTTTTAAAGTGGAGATGAATTAAATATGATTGTTCTCAACCTGTTGAACAGTTTGCATTAATATATTATAAATATGATGAACTTGTCGAACTTTTAATAAGTTTTTACCTGAATAAATTGGCTATTAAAAGTCAACCAATCAGATGACAAGGATTTATCAGGTGTTATATAAAACGAATAATGAATGTTTCACGTTCGTGCAATGGAAAGAATAATTTCATTCGGTAACAGATGAAATGTTCCATTCCACTCGGCTCGCCTCGTGGAATGAAACATTTCATCTGTCACCTCATGAAATTATTCTTACCATTGCACTCACAAACATTTATTATTTGTGTACTATTCGCAGCCGGTGTAGCATGAGTTTAGGTTTTATAAAATATGGACTCATTGGTGGTATTGCGCATGCTTATGCATAGAAAGTTAGGAGAGGGACCGGTCACTTTTCAAAGGGAAAAAGAGTCCGATTTTCATACGAGTCCGATTTTCATATGACACCGGGCTGCGATATTTGTTTACTATCTGGGGCACTTTTTGCGCTTTCCGATGGAGCATGGTTTATAATGACCAGGCTTGAGAGGAGTTATCGTTTTCAACTTGGTACGGATTTCGGACTTTATTTCCCTTTAAGAAAAGAAAAAGGAAATTGCTGCTATACAAGTAGTATCCGACTGAAAAATATCGAATAATAAGATAAA